AATTTACTAACAGTTTATTCATGATGTAGCAATTTAAAGGAACGCGCAAAATGTGAGTAATTAATTAATTTAATTACTCTTATTTTATTTTAATATTGCTAATATCATGATTAGGTTAATTTTATATTTGATTTGACTAAAGATATTATTGTTGAATTGCTTCCAATATTAATATTTATTCTATTTTTATTATGATCACCATATTGCATGTTTAAAGGGAATATGTAGTTGAAAATAACGCCTAATAAGATAATTTGGACAACCGGTTTAGGTTCCTTTTTAATCTTGTTGTTTAATCAAGTGATCACTAATATTTTAGAATTATGTGTGCATTTAATATTAAACCAATTTAGCTTAATAATAGTTGGAGAAAATTGAATATTTTGTTTGTATGCCTTTGAGATCGCATGAATCACTTTTCACTATAAGAATCGAGTAGAGGCCAATACGGGCGAATGTGACTCCATGACTCACTTCGTACCATCATCCCCGATCCTCCTTTTGTGGTTCTGAACCATATGGAGTTAGTAATCTCATGGATTATGAAAGAGGTGTAACCTTCACGGGTCAATCGTTGTTGCTTATCGTTGTCCCTTTATCGTGGTTGCCTTTTATGATTCGTGAACGGTTTACAAGTTCCTTAAAAACTTGTTGGCGGCTTCCTACTTTTCTTTGTCCCTAATTGTTGTCCCTAATCGTAATGTCAATTCCCACTTCCTATGAGTGCCAAGCATATTCAAACATGCTTTTACGTAGGCGCACTTCGAACGGCCCCTACAGGGTGCTATAACTAAAGATTTAGATGACTCTATAGGGAGAGACTCTAACTCTGAATCAAACTCAGACGACTCTTCGAGCATCGGTCCTTGCCCTATTGTGATAGAGATATTCCTTCCGCTTGGAGTAGTCATCTTGACGGTCTTGCACCACCCTTGTTGTGATCCTTCTGCTGGGGTGATTAGCTTTGAGGGATCAAAGCTTTCGCTTTGTAGGACTGTTTGGATGAGCGAGGATTTATCCTCTTTGCATGTTGGCTCATCTTTTTCTCGCCCGAATAGTAATCTGATAAGTGGTTTATTTGACCACTTATTGTGTTAATTTAAACCCGGTTTTGCAATCATTTCCCCTCTTTCTAACCCAATTTTGAATGAAAATGTTTTGTCTCGGCTTTCCCCCTCTTGGTTTGTGTTTTTCCATGTTTTGCATGTCTATGGACTCAATTTGGCAAGCTTTCGGTGCATGGTTTGTGTTTAAGGCAAGAGAATTAAAGAATGGAGAGGGCGCTCCAGCAGGAGCAGGCGTGCACCCCTCAGGAGCGGGCGCTCCGACCTTTCTGCCAACTTTCTGCCAAAGCTTCAAGAATTGCACATCCTGTGAGGAGCGGGCGTGCAGCCTTGAGGAGCGGGCGCTCCTACTTTCGGAGCGGGCGCTCCTCGCTGGGAAATCCGTTTTCTTTGACGGATTTCCCTATGTGTTACGGGGAGTATAAATACTTCCTCCTTTATTCATTTGTAACCTAGACAGATATAGCCTAGTTTTTAGAGACTCCTCTTAGTTTGAAACATTCCTTTTAATTAATTTAGCTTAATTTTCATCAATTCAATCATTGTAATAGTTGGTTTCAAGTTTGTTTCTCAAGATTGGCACTTTGTATTCAACAATTTCAAGCCTCAATTAGTAACTTCCTTCTACTTTTCTCCATTTAATTTATGATTTTATTTGTTGTTGCATGATATTTAAATCTTCTTAGTTCTTGATAATTTGTTATTGGATGATAGTTATTTCAATTGTTAATCATTTTTCCCCAATTATTGAAGAAGTTAGAACCCTAATACTTGTTTGCATGTTGATAAATATGAGTTGTGAGTAGTCTACTTGCTAGGGGTTGGGTGAAGCTCAACCTTTTGGGTTAATTATGAAAATGTGGGAGAAGCATTGATGCTTGTATTGCAATTAAATTGATTATATGAGATTTCTTGTTAGTTCTTCATTGATAGGATTAGCTACCCTTGATTTAGGAGCTTGATAGCATGATATGCTTAGTTTGACATGGAAATGTGAATGAAGCATGGCATTACTTATTGCAATTTGATTATGTATCTTCTATTGCTAAACTAATGAGGAATCTAAGTTTAGTAGTGTGAGTTGTTTCCTAATTGCATGAGGTTGATCTTACATATAGTCCTTGCTAAATCTTATCAATTTCACTCCCCATTTGTCTATTTGCCTTGGTCGAGTGGATCCCATTCCCTAGTGTCCTCAATCCATTGATTTAGAACCATTGTTTGTTTGTCTTCTTGACGAACCCCAAATCACCATTGACTTCGAATTAGCTTAAGTGTTAAGATCTTTGGCAACCATATCCCGTTCCTTGTGGACTGAACTCTTACTTGTCATTATGCTTGGTTTGTAAGGTGTTTGTTAATAAATGTGTTTGATTGAGTGTGGAATGTGCGACCGTTCTAACTCCCATCATAATCCCATGACATTAAAGTCAAAGCATGGGGGTGCTTTCTCCTTGTGGACAGGAGTTGGGATTTCGTCTATGAAGTAGCAATCTAAGAAAATCTCGAATCCCGGTTGCCTTATGCCATTTACGACAAAATGGTTCGGGAAAAACATAGCATGGATAGTCTTCTCCTTCTTTTATAAATTGTCCATTAAGGGTAAGAGGATACTGAGCCATTGTGATTGCTTTCTTGTGGATGCGAGCGTCCCTACGTGCCTTTGACTTTTCCTGGGCTCGCTTGAGATCTTCTCGAGTCGGTTCGAAACCAATTCCGAAAGTGTCTGATTTAGGGAGGCCAGGTGATTTCAACGGTTTTGCTATTCCTTTCTTATTTCCTAGGGTCATCCCAGGAAAATGTCCTTGCTTCTTTAGAATAGCGTTCACGATCATATTGGAGTGGGGGTCGTGGAAGAGAGGGGTCCTTTCATCCTCCTCGATTAAGGAGACCTCTTCATTAAAGCCCCACAAATATTCATCGTCTTCATCGTGCTCCACATTAATTATTGGATTCTCTATAGCTTTAATTCTCATAGGTGAAGCATCGATTGTAATGAAGCCAAGGGCGTCCCAACAATAGATTGAACGAAGCTTTAATATCTACTACTTGGAACGTAGTAGTGTGTTTTATCGCTCCCGCCGTTATATTCATAGTAATTTTACCAAGAGCTTGACAACGAGTGTTGTCATAAGCTCTTATTCCTTGCATTCACGGGGTTAGGTCTTCATCCCTTATGCCTAGCATTCTTGCAGTTCTAAGTGGACAGACATCAATGGCTCATCCATTATCTAAAAGAGTCATAGGGACGTTCATTCTCTTGCAAACTACTGTGGGGTTTAATGCCTTATAATGTTTATCACCTTTTGGAGGTAAATCCTTGTCGGAAAAGGTGATCAAGTTGATAGGACTAGGGAGATCACTCGTAAGGAAGTTAGCTAACTCCTCAGGAGTGGTGTCAGATTCTATCCCTATCTTGTCCAAGGCATTCATTACAGCCAACCTATGCTCTCGAGATGTTGCCAGAAGCTTCCATATGTTCATTTCAACCTTGGTTTTCTTGAATTGTTTGACAATGTCATTGTCTTCTATGATGGGTATGGGAACTTGTTGTGTGGTTGGCATAGGTTGTGTCGAAATAGGAGGTTGCATTCTTTCGGATCTTGTGAGGACGTCTATGGATTAATCTTCTTCAACCCAAAAGTCATCCATGACATATTAAACCGAAGGTGGAGGTCCTACCATGTTTTTCAAGTAAACGTCTTCTTCGTGCTGTCCCAAACTCCATTAATATTTACGTCTTCTTCTTATGGAACTTGGACTAGCCTCTTATCATCAATCATTTTCTGAATTAAATCCTTGACTTTAAAACAGTTTTCAATAATGTGACCCCCTGATTAATGATATTGACAATAAAATCTATCTGCCCTTTTTAACGATTCAAATGGTCTCGGTTCGAGAGGTTTGACCTCGCCACTCTCGGAGAGCATTTTGAACATTTGTGCGTATGGAATCCCAATTGGAGTGTAGAGTCTGTTACTCTTCTTGGGTTTATCGATTACTTGCAAAGGAAAGTGTTTCGCATCGTAGGTCATTCCCTTGGGTGTGAACTCTTTCCTAGGTTTATTTTTCGAGGGTGGAACCTCGTCATACTTCTTCAGAAGTTCTTTCACAACTTTGAGTGCTTCACGTAGCAAGTTTGATCCTTCCATCATGGACAGTGTAAGCAATTGTATGTCCTCTTTACTTGCTAATTCTGGAAGGTTATCCACGGCATCGAAAAAGATCTCCTCCTCTTCTTCGACAACATGGATTTCTTCGACAGGTTTGATGAGAGATGAGGGATCAACCTCGTTTTCCTCATCAGAGATGGCCAAGGACTGAGCGAGAGGCGCATTATCAATACTTGGCTTCTTACTGGCAGGGGGCAATGGTAGTTTGTTATTTTCTTTTAAGTCTTGGATAGCTTCCTTAAGCTTCCAACAGTTCTCAGTAAGATGGCCCCTGCCTTGGTGATACTTGCAATGTGCATTGAGGTTCCAGTTAGCCGTCCTTTTCTCGATTGGTCCCCAAACGGTCCAATAGGAGTTATAAGACCTTTTGCATTTAATCGGTCAAATGCGGTGTCATAACTCATGTCAATAGGAGTAAAGTTCCTCCTAAATAGTTTCTTTTGTCCTTGATTATTCATAGCAAGGACTTCACTTAAGTTAAAGGTACCAACATTATTTGAGTGGGTGCACTAGTAGAAAAAGTTCTATTTGTAGCGCCCTAGTAGTAACTGACATAAATTATGTTAGTTACAAAAAGAGTATTAGTAACTGGCATAGATAATGCGGGTTACAAGTAAACTTGTATTAGTAACTAGTATAACCAAGGTCAGTTACAAATAGTAGGTCAATGATAGGGTGACCAACTTTTCGTAAGGGGCATAATAAATGTCAGTTACAAATAATAAGTTAAACTTTATAGACCTTATTAATTGTAAGGGGCTTTATTAAGGCCGGTTACTATTATTAGCGCCCACCACTCACACTTCACTTGTATTTTTCTTTTTTTAATTTAAAAAAAAAAATTAGTTTTTTTTTTTTTTTTTTTTTTTTTTTTTTGAGGAAAAATTAGTATTTTACTTATCCCCAATTCCCAATTTTACTGAAGGAAAACATTGAAGAACCCTAACTTCTTACTGACTTCCTCTCCCCTCACTCTCATTCAAGGACCGGCGCTGCTCTCAGATCGACGTTGGCCGAACTCCGACGACGGCCGACCAGTGTTCGTCTGCTTTCCTTTAGCCTTCTCTGAGTTCTCTCTCTTCGACAAAGCAAAACTCCAGTCTTCAGGTTTAGTTTTTAATTAATCTATTTTTTTTAACTGTTAATTGAAATTGTGATTTCATTCATTTGTGAATATATGATTCTGTGAACGTAATGTATTTTTAATATTATAGTTGTGCGCCTTGATTCGAATTATGAACCCTAAGTTTGGCAAAATTCTTTTAATATTTCGATTCTGGTAGTCAATAATTGGTTTTTTGGGTTTGATTGCTTATAATATTTCATTTATGTCGTTCTATTGTTGAGAGGGTGGCGAAATTACGAATGTCCGACCTTTCTATTGGCTGTATTATTGGGGAGCGGGAGGGGAAGGATTGGATGTCCGGTCACCATTGGGGAGCAGGATGGGAGGAATTGGATGTTCGGCCTTGGGTTGGGGAAGGGAAGGGGAGTAAGTGGATATTCGAAGGTCATTATGTCTATGTTTATTTGTAAAGGAAAACTTGAATTGACTCGTGACTGTCAAAGAGCTTTGTCTAATTAATACTAAATTGCTAAAGTATCAGTTTTGTAGCCTGATGAACAGAGTTTTGCAAAGGTGTATTTCTGCCACCAGACCATCAATGTTAAAATGAGATGTGATGGTTAGTTACCCAACTTGTCTCTCTATGTGTTGTATAATATTGTGTAGAATTTATTATGATTAATTTGTAATTATCTTCTAAATGTATTCCATCTTATTGTCATGGAGCAGTCATGGGTTTTTGCTAGTTTATGATGTAACGAGTCGTCATTTAATAGTAAAATTCTATCCATTAGAATCCCTCGGCCTAGGATGTTATGCTATCTATATTTTACACTATTAAAAAAATTACATGAACGTTTAATCTTTCTCAATGTAATATATGGTCTTTACATATATTGGCTTATGTGAAGTGGACCTGAAAATCAGAACTGAATTCGGAACTGAAAATCATAACTCAATTCGGAACTAAAAATCAGAACTGAATTCGGAACTGAAAATCATAACTGAATTCGGAACTAAAAATGAGAACTGAATTCATAACATAATTCAGAGCTGAAAATCAGAATTAAATTCATAATTGAAAATCAGAACTGAATTCAAAGCTGACTTTCAGAACTTAATTCAAAGCTTATTTTTATGTGCGATCTTGAACTTATTTTTATGTCCTGTTGAGCGGGTCATTGTTGTTATCAGTTTGTGTGTTGTCATTGTTCTTAGTCTTGAATTGTGATTACTGATGTTTGAGATGATAGCTATTCTTTCCTTTTGAAGATCTGTTCCTATATTGTGATTATAGATGTTTCAGATTAGTAATTTGTGTGCTGTCATGGTGTGTTCCTTTATTGGGGACACATTGCTCCAATATTGCAACTTTGTTTAAGCTACCTTTAGTGTGACACTGTGAGCTGGCTAAAAGTACAGGGAAAAGAAGAAAAATTCTATCTCAGAATCAATTAGACTTGAGGGTGCTGCATGGAGTGCGTAACTTACTTCCTCGGAGAATGATAGGAAATAAACTAATGATCAGATTAGATTGTTTTGATTGAGAGTAACTCACTCGTAGCGCATGCCAATAAGACTGAAAATCTGTGTGGCACAGGCCACTACACTCCTGATAGTCCAGTAAGCAGCAGTAGGAATGTGTGTCATAGCAACAGATAATGGCGGCAGCTCAGCTCAGATGTATTGCTGAGGGAGCTACCTGAACTCAACAATCCTCTTTGTAGGTAGATGCTTAAGGAGAGCCACAGACTTGGCGAGAGGGTGACTAGAGAAGAGCTTAACCACCAACCCAAACTCTCCATAGGCTATTGCTAGTGCCCTTAGAGCTATGGCTACCTTTGCATCCCATGAATAGTTTGACAGCAAGCTGAGAAGTGCCAGTTGTCGCATGTGCATCTCCTCCTCCCTCACATTTGCATGTTATCTGCCAGGATACAGAACATATGTTATGAAAACATGAAATTATATTTGAAGATAAGACTTTTTTTTTGGCTCATTTAAAATCAGTCTAAAATTCAGAACTGAAGCTCAAAACCGAAAATCAGAACTGAGATAAGTCTGAAACTTAGAACTGAAGCTCAAAACTGAATTTCAAAACTGAAATCAGTCTGAAATTCAGAATTGAAGATTAGAACTGAAATTAGTGTTAGTTTGTTTTATTAACGTGCATACTTGTACTCCTACACGGCTACACCTTCTCATGTGTTAAAGTAGCAAGGATGAAATTTACCTCAATTGTTGTTGAAATTCTCCCATCAAAGGTAAGATCTATACATACCTTTTTGTAAATTCAGTAGAATCTCGCTGGAACAGTTTAGAGTCAGTTTGAAGGTCTGACTTCTCTGGGATTGTTCTCCTTCATAACAGATGATTTTTAGGTGATTCTTTTTTTGAATTTGGGTTATTTTTTGTCTACTCTGTTCCTGTAAAATTTCAGAATTTTTTGAGTTTGGCTGCTATTAAACTGGATTGTTTTCTGAAAACTGGTCAATTTTTATTCAATTTGGTATATGCTTCTTTTTTAGAGGGTTTTTCTTAGAGCTGTGTTGAGATTTTTGCTGGGATATTCCTGTGAAGTTTAAGGTGTTTTAAGAGTATTTTGCTTATATAAATTTCATCCTTGCTACTGTTATACTGTGTGGTTTTTTTTACTCTGATTTGTGCACATATTTTGTGTTAAAAACATATGGGTGAAGAGGCTATAAACAAACTTATGTAAAATTTCAAGAGAAACTTGATATAGTGGAGGAAAAGTTGATTAATAGATTATAAGCTAGGTACGATGCCTTTGCTAAGTTGTTACAATAAGAAGAAGAAAAAAATGGAAAGATAATGATGATGAGTATTCAAGTATTCTTTGCATATTCTAAAGCTAGTGACGGACAGTATTAAGTATTTCAAGTTAGTCTAGATGTTTGAGAAATAGATACCTTGTTATTTGTTCTTGGAAGATGATATGAATTTTTTAGTCTAGATGCATGTACAAATATCAGATTTAGAATAGCAAGTATGGGTGCTTTAATTGTGTTTCCTGCCATTGATTTTATGTAAAATTTAATAACTTTCCTGGTATGGTAGTTCTTTATATATATGACTGTTCTTCATGCCATATGCAAAAGAAATATCCACCATGTTTTCCTAATACCTAATAAAATACATTTTGATGTGTGCTAGTGTCACTATATATTTTCTGAAACTCTTCTAGATGTTGAAGCTGTAAGTGTTGATCTCCTTTTTCCAATGGCTTACTACCGAAATTTAATTTGAGTTATATATACTTTGTAAATTTTTATTTTCAGGACATGACATGTCAATTTGAGTTCAAGAGATTAGTTGATCAAGGTGGTGCATGCTTTCTAGTAAGTTTCCGAGCAATGGTCAACTCTGATTTTCCGTGCACGTAAAAGTTAATACGGAGAGACAAAACAATGTGAACAACAGACAGAGTTATGTGAGAGACAATATTGGGCCTTGTGAGAGACATGGTTGTAATTTATAAGTACATCATTTTCTTGTAGAGCTGATGATATATATGTAGATTTTAATTAAATTGAGCCTTACATTGTTTAGGATATATAATCTTTGTATTTATCATAAAAGTGAATTAATATTGTATAATGTTTCACATAATAAAAAAAAATGTAGCGTATTAGTGGGGTGAATACAAGTTATGTGAAATTATTTGGAGTACGTGATTTGTTTGTTGAATTGTAATAGGGTGTAACAGGTTTTAACCATTTGTGGTTGGGTCGTTCGGTAGGATTTGAATCAAATATATATATATATATATATATATATATATATATATATATATATATATATATATATATATATATATATATATATATATATATATATATATATATATATTAGTAACTAGCGTAATCTAATGCTAGTTACTTATAGATTTTTTTTTAAAGAAAAACTAAAACTATTTATAACTGGCGTTAGGCTATGCCATTTACAAAAATACACTATTTGTAACCTGCGTAACTTAACGCTAGTTATGAATAATATGCTTTCTAACATGAAAATAGACTATTTGTAACTGGCGTTGGGTTAAGTCAGTTACAAATAGTACATTATTTGTAACTAACATTAGCCGGTTACGAATAATTTTTACTAGTTGTAACGGTGGCATTCGCAACCAACAATGCCAGTTACAAAAAGCCAATTTTGCCAGTTACAAATAGCATTTTTTCTACTAGTGGTGGTTTTGGAAGAAGAAGGATTGTCGTTCTTCTTGCCTTTCCAGCCACTGTTGGAGTTATTGTTAGCAGCTTTCAACTTAGCCAGGTCGTCTTCAATATTAATTCCGATGTCGTAGACGGCCTTGAAGGTATGGAGATTATATTTGTATTTGAAATGCTTGGAGTACTTCTCTTGAAGGTTTTTGATGAATAACCCTACGGACTCTTTTTCGCTTACACCTCAATCATCTTATCAGAGGTTTCTCTCCATTTATTAAAGAAAGAGGTGAAACCTTCATTCTCTTTCTGCTTGAGGATTTCAAGTTCCGTATAGTCGGTCTCAACTTGAATATTAATTGCATTTTTATCTATCAATGAAAGCGTTTACTATGGACTCCCAAGTAGAGGTTCTTTCTTTCTCGAGAGAAAAGAACCATTGTTGGCAAACGGTTTCGAGAGATAGTGAGAACAGAGAGGGAAACACCTTCTTTTCGATACCCTTAATACTCATTATTGTTTCGAAGGCTCTTAGATGAAAGTAAGGGTTATCAGTTGCTTTGAATTTTGGGATGTCGTTGGCATTGAACTTCTGCGAAAGAAGATCCTTGTCCATCGAGACCCCTTGTGAGTTAATCCCTTGAAACTTGTAGTCTCTAGACAGTTTTCTCAGATTCTCTTGCATGAAGTCCTTTGTTGTTGTTTCACAGGATCATCAATCTTGAGGGTTAGAACCTTTAACACCTCATTCACAGTAATCAGTTGGTTCCTGAGCTCATTGACTTCCTCTTGAGTTGCCATTATTGTCTTAGCTTTCCTCCTACGAGCGATGGGTTTGTCGAAAAGTTGGACTTGGATAAAAAGATTTTCTTTGATTAAACGCTCTTCCTTTTTTGACCACGCGCTGTAAATCAAACCATTTTTTGTTTTAATTATTTGACTCAAATTGACCTTGACTTTACGATATAAAAGAGAAAAAGCAAAAAATGTAGGTGCGTATTTTTGGCAAAAATAAGGTATATATTTTTTGGGATTAAGTATAGGGTTTAAAAAAGTTAATTTATTTGGAGGATTAATGTCCGACTTACCCCCCCTAAAAAAATGACGGAAAAAACGCGTATACAAGACTCCCTTAGGCATGGTCAAAGTGTATATAAGTGTGTGCTTTATATAGTGAGTGTAAGTGACATGCTTTGACTCTTGTTTAAGACCATGGGACTTAGTGCTTAGACTCAATTAATGACTTAATAAGGTATAATTACCAGTAAAAATTAACCGAATCGATTGGAAAACTGCTTAATTAGACATAAAGTGATGACTTGAGCGATAAATCGAACTGTCGTCAAAACGACAGGACTGGCGCCTCTCTTTGTAGTGTAGCGCCAGACGACAGGACTGTTTCCAGGCGCTACACTCCACAGAGTGACGCTACAGTTCAATTTTTGGCGCCATTGCTGGAGCGTCGATCTGAAACTGTTTTCGGTATTATTACTCTACAGGGTATGCCTAAAGTCGTACTAAGTCAACTCTAATTAAATATTAAACTTTATTTACTCAAATTAATTAATTAATTAATTAGGCAAAGTTATTTTAGTCATAAATCAATTTATTTATTTAATCTTAGCACAAGTCAAACAAACGGTTAGGAAAAAAAACACATAGAGTATGCACAACCAATAATGCACAATTAGTCAAGTAGGCACAACATGATGCAATGAGTTTGTAACCTAACCATGGCTATAGTTATCTAAAGTTCGGGATATGGGTTAGTCAATAGAGGGTCCATGGTTAATTGTCCGGATGCACCGCGCTGAAGCCTAATCGTGAAGGGTTGGCGCGAGTGGATGGGACGCCGCGAGTTTAGAAAAACTCGCTTCCATGGTTTGGTGAATTCAACATTCTCGGTTGTACCCTTTGTTGCTCAGAGCGTTCAATCAGGTAGATGGAGCATGAATTCCCAGAGGGTTGGGTTTCAGAAAAGTGAGAAAAACTTAATCAGGAAGTAGGATCGAGCAAACAGTGCTAAAGACTGGTCAAAATCAGAACGCATATTTCTGGCTCGGTATTGGAAGAACATGGCGCCAGCAAACAGAGGCCAGTGCCACCTTTTGGCTTTAGCGTTTGGCGACAGAAGCTGTCGCCTGGCGCTAATGTCAAAATGTTGGCGCTAATCTTTGTTCGCTGACGCTAGTTTCTACATGCCTCAGCAGCTTTCTGTGCTCGATAAAATTTTCCAGTTTCGCGCAGCATTATTTCGATCCTAGTTATGAAAGATATTCCTCAAATTTCCTACGTACGTGTAAAAATCCTATGTTTTAACTCATTACGGATGGTCTTTCCAATGAGATCTTTTTTTACGCATATGACAATAATGTTAATCAAAATTACGCACATGAAATACTTAGAACTTTTCGAGTCTCATCCAATCATTCTAAATCATTGCCGAAATAAATTTCAGGAATTAAAATAGAAATCCTCCCCAGTGGAGTCGCAAAAAACAACAGGGAATATTTCAAGCGTTATCCCTAGCTTGAACCCCACTGTGATCATACACTAAAGTACGGTGGCGTCCAAAGGGAAAGAAGATAGAGCAAAAGAGTCGCCAACAAGTTTTAGGAACTTGTAAACCGTTCACGAGGTGAATGTTACACCCCTTAACGATCCAAGAGATCGTCAAATCCAATAGGTCTTGAACCATGACTGGTAGTTCGGGGATGAAGGTACAAATCCAACCTAAAAGAGATTGAACCTGCCCCAAAAATAGGCCTCTACTTTATTCTGATCGTATTCATGTGCGCTTTCTGAGTAACATGCAATCAATAGGATTAACCCTAAACCTGTTTATCTATGTTGGTTGAATATTAATGCACAAATAAAAATATTATTGGCGATCACTTGAATTATAATCAAATTAACCCTAAACAAGATTAATAATTATCTTATTAAGCGTGATTACAAGTACAAATTCCCTTTAAACATGCATAAAAGGCGTGATCAAGCAATAATAATAAAAATCAAGCAACTTAATAATAATAATCATAATAACAATTATAATAAAAATAATTAAAATAATCATGTTAAAGCATAATAATAGCAAGATCCTAGGCATGATACTAACAAGATTAATAACAAACCCTAGCATGTCACTAAGAAATAAAAATCATAGCTTTAACCCTAACATGATACTAACAATCATAAATATTAGGAAAGACAATAAAAGACATCATAAAAATCATAACTGATATTATATTCTTTACCCTAAACATGATACTAGGAATTTATTGTTGTCACCCTAAACATCAAATTAAGAAAAGCATCCTAACATGATACTAGGAATCAAAATAACATCCTAAACATGATTTCTACATCATAATATCAATGAATCAATTAAAGAACTTACTTGGATGCCTCGTACCTCTTTCTAATAACAAAATACACGCGTTAGTAACTTCAAGGAAAATATAAACAACAATTAAATTAAATAATAGAGATTTGGGACCAAACTCTCAGAAATTAAAACCTTTCACGTCTATGGCGAAGACAACTTCGAATAATGCTAGGTGTGTCTAGGTCTTGTGAATGCATAATTTTGTATGAAAGTTGATTTAGAAAAGAGAGAAAAAGAAAGCTTTAGCTTTGAGAGAGAAAAGAATTAGAGAGTTGATGATCTTTGATGAGAATTGAGCAGAATTGATGATTGAAAACGGAGTTTTTAGGAGGCTATTTATAGAGAAAATCAGCCAAAAAGATAGAAAAATAAACCAAAATTCTGACGTGAAAAAACGAAGTTAGCGCCAGACGCTGACATTCGCGCCAGACGCTAACGCTAGCGCCAGGCGCCAAGCTTAGCGCTAGGCGCTAACCATTTTTTTTACGTGTTTTTTGAATTCAGATAAAATTTAACCGTACAGGAGGATAAAATCGTATTTTCCTCAAAAACGCTCTTTTATTCCTGATTAAAATTCCAAAAAGTCAACAAAAGTCAATTTATCAATGCTAATTGAATTAGGAATGAAAAGAACCTTCTAGAAGAATCTAGAAGACTAAAACCATTCGTAATTGCATTAGGAATGATAAATCCATATTAGGCCCTCCTCTAGATCATTGGGCCGCATATAGGGCTCAAACCAGGCCCAGTTTAGTAATTTGGCCATAACTTTCTCATTATTCATCGGAATTAGGCTTATAATATATCGTTGGAAAGCTCTTTTCAAGCCCCATCCAACTACACCATTATTGGACCCATATCATGGACCAACCAAACTGGATTGACTGTTTTCTTAAAATAGGTTTTCAAAAACAGAGAGAAAAGAAAAGAAATTAAAACTATCCGCAACACTAAACTTTCCACACTTTCACTTCATTCGATTACGATTCGACGTGAAAAGTACTCATCACCGGGTTTGGTTTTGGGGAGACACAAATGGGTGTCTATAGCGAGTTTGTAATACCCCATATTTTTAAGTATTTTATAAATTATTTAATTAATTGTAAAATATA